GAATCATTCCTTAACAATAGGTCCCAAGTAGTTAAACTGGGTTCTGTAAACTCTAAACCTAGTCCAGTCACTTCTGGAGTAGTTCAAGGTAGCGTCTTAGGCCCCCTCCTATTCACTCTATATGTCAACGACATATGCAGCTGTTTCTCACTTGGCAAACCATTCATCTTTGCAGATGATCTTAAAGTAGCTTACACATTCCACTGTGATGACTTAGGTTACTTTCAGAGAGCTGTTCAGGAAGAACTAGATCGAGTAACTGCATGGTCCTCCACATGGAACCTAAAATTCAACCTTAAAAAATGTGGTTTGATCTGTTTCGGTGCACCCTCAATAAATATTAAACTGGTACTTGAATCGCTTGACTTGCCTAAACTCCAAAGTGTTGTTGACCTAGGACTCAGGTACTCTAGTGACTTGACATTTTCTGAGCAAGTGGCGACGCAGACGCGTAAATCGAGGATGCTCTTAGGATGCATACTCAGGAATTTCCACAACTACGAGGCGAAGCTATTATTATATAAAACTTGTGTCAGACCACTACTTGAATATTGTCCATTTATTCTCAGCAGCACTCGCGTAAGTGACAAACTTAAAATAGAAAGTGTCCAACGATACTTCACGTCTAAACTACTAGGATTTGACTGCGAAAAGGACTACACATCAAGGTGTATAACTCTAGGTATCGACCCACTCTGGATTAGACGACTGAGCATTAACCTAACATTCTTTAAAATCTTGCATAAAATATCATTCTCAGACAGCAAGGAGATACAGTTCTCACCGGAAAGCTCTTACAACCTTCGTAACCAAACGTGCACAGTATCTATGAAAAACTGTAAAACAGCACTCCGTGCAAACTTATTTCCAAAACGCATGAGCTATTAGAACACTATAACGCCTAGACTCATTACTAAATATTACGACATTAAATTAACTCTAAGACTTCGCAAAATTACATGAAAAACAACTAGATTATGGGTAGTGTTTACTATACAATGATATACATTTATATATACATAAAATATTAATGTTTTCTTCATTTTTACATACTTTATCTCCCTGCTGAGCTTAATCTTCTATATACCTCCTGGTTGAGGTCGAACAACCCAACATCCAAACTGAAATGACCATTTATGTAAATTCAAACTCAAATTCCATGAACGATCCGATGCAACCACTTGAAAACGCTGGCTAACATTCTGTACAAGGAGTATTCTTGATCTGAAATAAAGAAGCAACTGGTTTCCAAACAGTTATCAATGTATTACTCAACTTACATGTACAGTCTGCCATGCTGACGCAAATGGCGCAAATGGATAGTTCTAGAATTGACCTCATTTGATGCAGTAAAACAATCAAACATTACCTTATCTAATTTTCGTATCAAAGATCAAATTTCTTTCCTATTATAAAACTACGATAAGACTGCTGACAAAAATGGAATAAATACATTATTGAATCAAAATAATACATCAATAAACTTTATCTCACGGATGCTGTTCACAACAAAGTCTTATAGGAGAATTGACTTCAAGCTTTATTTTTCCCAGATATTTGTATCACATTCATCTGAAGTCTGGGTTTTTTGTTAATGCGAAGACAATATTTCTATATCTCTTTATGTGTTACACAGACAGACTATTTTGCAGACTGTTCTGACTGACTCTAATGTTAGATTGAACAAACAAACTGTAATTTATATAATAACTTATCCATGCCTGTACAATTGGTATGTTCCTGCATAAACAGGAATAAATATATATTAATTACTGCTCAAAACACTCTGAGGTTGTGGGACTCAATGTAAGATGCCTTTAAAGCAATGTTAGAGGGCTGAGTGGAATAGCAGGTGAACTCAGAAACCTCGATTCACACCTCCACCCGAAAATAGTCATCCTTACTGAAACCTGGCTAACCCCGCCCCAGTAGCCGACAACGGAATCAGTATAAATCATAAGGTTCAGGTCAGGAGAGACAGAGATGAAAAGGAAACGGGGATTTGCCACATACTTTGACGAGCAACTTTCATGTGCACGTGCAATGGGCCCATCAATTTTTGAACTCCCAAATTCCATAAGGTGTCATTTCACCGAAGGCCGCACCAAACACTTATTGGGTAGCATCTACTGATCACTCACCCGTGGGGCAGAGCGAAACCTGCTACTGCTCAGCACCATCACAGGGATACGGTCTTTGGGCTATGACCAAATCACCATAGCTGGAGATTTCAATGAACCTTGGTTAGGGTTATGCTTGGGGAAAATTCGGTCGACACTAGATGGGGCCCTAGTGGAAAGCCATCAAAACTAGTGACCAACTACTCATCGGAAAGGTCCAGATCATGACTCCTCTAGGAACTAGTGACCATGCAGTCATAGTATTAAATCTTGTTCTCCGTGGGCACTTGCAGTGGGACGTTACGCGACCAGGTCTGCGCTATAACAAGGCCGACTGTGCTGAAATGTGGGACTTTTGTCCGACGCAGAAGGGCTCTTGGCATGGGATGAGTTATCTGTGGATGAACAGTAGGAAGTGGTAATAGAGATTATTCGTGGATGACAGAAGGTACACAACGTATTCTGCAAGCTAAGCGGATAGCTTGCTTTAAGTGGCGAGTATCCAAGAGTCAGACCGACCATGACGCATGCATGGAACTCAGGAACCGGTGCAACGTGAGAGTCAAGAGTGACAGGAGGTCATTTCACGCCAACCTTGCCACAAAACTCCTGGAGAACCCCGAAAATCTGTTTCGACTCATGTCGGAAAAATCCCAACCAACCAGGGGGCATGCGCCTCACCTGCCTGGGGATGGCTGAAACATTCAGTTAAGCCCCAGCCAAACAGTCAAACAGAGATGTGTGTATTACTGGTAAGGAGCAAAGTGGTGGCACTACTGTTTCACCGGAGGAAGACCTAGTGGCTACTCCCCAAATAAACCCGGCAATAGTACTAAGGAAGCTACAGAGTCTCACACCCAGGAAGTCCCTAGGTTGTGACGACATCAGGCCATCTGTTCTAAAACAATGCACCGAAGCTCTCTGTAGGCCCTTATGCGACTTGTTCCAACACTCGTTTGATTCAGGAAACTGCCAAGGGAGTGGACGAGAGCCATCCTCTCTCCGATCTTCAAGGGTGGGGATAGGCAAAATGCCACCAGTTATAGACAAACAGCTCTACTCCCAGTGGTATCAAAAGTACTGGAAAGTATTATTGACGATCACATCAGGGATAACCTCGATAGGTCTATTATACTCCACGAAGCTCAACACGGTTTCACCAAAGGCAGATTCTGTGTTAAAAACATACTATCAGCTAGGGACGATTGGACATCATGCTGGGATATGAATATTCCAGTTCATGTGGTTTTCCTAGACTTTGAGAAGGCATTTGAAACAGTTCACCATGACCTTCTCCTACACAAAATAAGTCAGGCAAGTATAGGTAAGCCACTTATGTTATGCCTAAAGGACAACCTAGCTGAAAAGAAATTTTGAACTAAGGTCAATCAAGTCCGATCACCTTGGCACAGCTCGTTATCAGGAGTGTCGTAGGGTTCTATCCTAGGACCAGTGATGTTTTTGATTATTATCAATGATCTACCATGCCGTCTAAGCTGTCCGACTCTTCCACACGCCGACGACGTAAAGATATGGAGGGCAATAAATTGTCCGGAAGACTCAGATAGTCTGCAGGCAGATCTAAAGCTTCTGGGAGACTGGGAGGTGGAGAGTGGCATGAATTTCAACCTGAAAATGTGCAAAGTAGTGAAATTACGCACCTGTAGGCCGCAGAATGCAAGTTACACTATGTGCAACGAAACTTTGTCCTGCACAACGTCGGAATGCGACTTAGGTCTAGTTCTAACGGAAAAAATGGACACAAGTGTAAATTACACGGGGGAAGTAGAGAGGGCATATGCTATCATGCACGTTACACATAGACAGTTAGGTGCACTCATTCCTGAGCTGTTTCTAAGGTTGTACAAAACATATGTCAGTCCACACCTTGAAGTGCATAATATTACTGCACCCCCAATGCTTAAAAGAGACGCCAACCTCTTGGAAAGAGTCCAACGACGGTCAAAAAAAGGAGTGGTTGGTCTCCAAAATAAACCGTATGACTAAAGGCTAAAGAAATTAGGTCGCTTCACACTTAGCTACCGTCGACTTAGTGGGGATTCTATTACTGCCTACAAGATGACGAATGACCGGAATCATCCAAACAAAGGTGTTCTGACACTGAGTAGATACAGGCTTCCTCGTGGAAATCCCATAAGGATAGCTCACCAGAGGGCAAGGGCGTGGGCGCGCTCCCACTTCTTTTTACTGTGTATTTCCCGTCCCTGAAACTCCTTACCGACACATGTAGCTATTGCACCATCTGCGGACACCTTTAAGAGAGGGCTGGACAATCATGCAGCGACACAATTACTGCGTTCAAATGGCCTATCCCCTTAAAATCCCATACACCATTCAGTGGCAGACAACTAAATTCGTCGTCTTCTTTACATTCTCTCCCGTCTTACTCTGCTGACAACTCCAAATACTACACTTATTATTATTACTGATATTATATATATCAACTTCAAATTTAATTAGCCGCCTGTTTCCACGTTTTCTTTATTTCTTTTTCTGTCTTTTAGTTTGAATAACCTACACTAATTATATTTATTAATATTATCTCTTTTCTTTTGACGACGATACTGGAGGACTTACTGGTGGAAAGATGAACTTCATTCACAGGAGTTACAGTCTTAACACACCTCATACTACAAACAACATGTAATTAATCCCAGCACTACTCCTTCTGGAGTCAACCAAAGCTACGACAGACGAGTATCGGGACGAACTACGCAGAAGTTTACCAAAGATCAAGAAACCTTACCTCACAATCAAGAGGCGAGCACAAAGAAATCAAATTAGCTTATATTTGCTCTTAAAAACGATATTGGATATCGGATAGGTCACCTTGCTTTTATTACACCATGAGCGTTACATGTAACTAGTGTGTAATTTGAATTTTTGATGTAACGTGTTCATGTACAGCATTCTTATAGCATGAATTTCAGCCTTAATAATGCCTCGTCGGCAGGATGAAACTACAAAGCCGAAGGATTTAATTGATTTTGAAGGGGATTTTAACTGTTCTACTAAAAATTTTTCGGAAATTCAGTTATTGTTTGATCCTCTAATTCCCACAAAGAATCCAACAGACACTTTTGCAAAAAGTAATGTAGTTCTCCTTGATTCCCTCGCGAAACATTCAAAGGACTCCGAAAACTGTGTGTGTAAGATTTCTTCCCCATTTGACTACTTGGTGAATTATCCTGAGTCCGAAAAATGTGGACTTCATGAATTGAGTGGATCAGCATCTTTCCCAGTCGTTAGTGCTGGTGCTGTCGACAAGCTCAGGGATTATGACCCTCTCTTTGCAAATGAATCAACCGACCAGGCAGGTGTAAGGCCAAATGATGTTATGTATTCTAGTGAACACAGCGTAAGTGATTCTTATAAATGTTTTATACATCTAGTATTTGTCTTAACGACATTAAAGGATAAATTAGTTGTTATCCATGTGTTTTAGATCTATATTAATAATGTTGATGCCAAAAGTCGTGTGACAGACACGGGTAGCATTCCCCTTGCTTCACCAACGAGACTGTGAACACATGTTAAAAAATGTAAGGTGAAGAAGAGATTCAGAGCTCCTATCAAAAAATAGAAGATATACAATATTGTTACTGTTTATTTACCTTTACTCTCAATATGTTTCAGTATATTCTGTTTAGACAAGGTTGGAATAGGTTCCTTGTACTCAAAATTTCTCATCGGTTTCTCAATGCTGCCATTTTACCACCTGAGCCTGTTTGGTAACTATTAAAAAGATAAATAAAAATGACTACAGGAATTTGTCCACTTTTACAGTAGGAATAAAGTCAAAAATGTGCAAGGCACAAAATGAGAATAATAAGTGTAATAATAATGACAGTGAGTTTGTTTCAAACAGTACGGTCAATACAGTTTCGTAATTTAAGCATGTTATAGGGCACTGAATGTAATTTTCTCTTGACATAGCATGGTGAAAGGAAAAACAAAAATAACAGTTATTACAGAGCTTAATGATGTCTATACTTATGAAAAAGTAAACAAAAAGATGAGAGGACTATAAATATAGGAAGAATAATAGCAGTAAAGCTTGATGTTATAAGGGTGGAGAAAGTTGCTTATTTACTAGTGGTAAGAAGGTTAGTTAGTTCGTGCCCGACACTATTTTCATCACATGAAACACGTGTCAAATATGGTATCGCGGAATTTTTGGATTTAGACGTGTGCGGATAAAGTCTTTTGAAATGACTTCTTGTTTTACCTGAGGAGATACAAAGTGGAAGCTGCGGGTAAAGTGGATGCTCACAGTCTGACAAAATCTCTTTAGCAAATTTGTTGCATGAAATCAAGTGACCATCAATCACGATAGGCACTTGATTCCCTAGTTCCTCTATTTTCTTATGATATACTGGTCTGGTGATTTAGAGGTCTTTGCTTTGATGTCCACTCAGGTTATGCTAAAGAGTTGTAAAGTAGAAGAAAAATAGCTATTCAGTGCTTGCAGATTTTTAATTGTTCCGTAACTTGTATCAATCTGTATTTTAACCAAAAACTTTTCAAATGATATTCCACTTTTGTTACTGGTGTATACGTTTTACAGCTTATAGAAAATCACCTTCTAGTCTCAACTTTGAATTATAAAACAAGGCTGTCCTTACAACTGTAATAAAATGTCCTCTCCCTCTCCTATTGTATTTCGGATGGCACGTGTCTACATTTTAAGTCATTGGCTTGTTTTATATGTAGGTATGTGTTGTATTTACTGTGTAGCGATTTATGGCAATAGGATCGCAAATTCAGTCAGCACTTATTCACTGAATAGTGCATCATGGTTACTTAACTAAACTACTCTTTTTGTGATGTTGCTATGCATAGTATATTCGGTTGGTTTCGTAAACTTTGTGTCAATCATCAATGGTTCCTATTCAATTGAAAAACAGTCATGAATGTTTATATACATGATGTGAAGTTTTATTGACTCAAGAATGAAAATATAACCATATCTGTGTGTTTATTTATTTGTTCAGACTAGTGTCTACATAATTTTAATCCGTTTTCGTACAGAATAGTTGATCAGTTTCTATTTTTCAATTAGTGCTAACCAAACTTATTAGTTTGATATTTGTGCTTGAAATTTCCCTCCCTTTTCTTATTTGTCTACGCTATTTTTTTAAAAGAATGAAAGTGTTTGAATAACAACATTTCTCAGTGAATAGTTTCTAACACACTTTACAAAATAAATGACATAGCAACGTTGTTATTGACTAGATGCATGACATCAGTCACTCACTAGTGTCCGATAGGTGAATCCGTTACAGTCCTACAGCGGGTCAATCGTAAGGCGGATTAGCTCAGTAGTAACGTCTCTAAATGCAGCACTGGGTGACGCAGTTTTGAATCTTAAAAGTAACATATGTACCTTCAAGATTGCAGATACAACTCGCTGATGTGTATAAACAGGCAAGAAACCTGGGTCCATGGCTTCTTGCCAACTGCCTCTAACTGTCTAACATAAGTCCAGACTGTTCGGCTATGGTGATTCACTTAGCTGACTGACTACATTGAAAATTTGATTGATAGGAGTGAAAATGGAAATACTCACTTCATTACCAGTTTTATGTACAGTTAAGTAATCTATAACAAATGAAATTTAAAAAATTGTCAAGTTTAAATCGCTTCCAGCTCGTCTCTCTCACTTTTAAATTGATACTGAACTGTCAAACTTGTCAAAGCTAGAAATATTCATCACGACAACTGCTTATTTTTTTATTATATTATAAAATCTTTGTGAATACTGAGATTCTGTGTACAGAAGTCATCCACCTACAAATAAAACTCCATTCTTTGCTGATAGTGAATTCAATAAAAATATAAAGGAGTTAAAATAGTATCTAAGCTCATAGGATCAAACTTAGGCCATGTACTAAGAGCGATAGACGACAATCACCTGGATTCGCTGGTATATTTTCATTCCACTTGTCTCTGTCATATGGATACGTCCATGTAGAATTTGATGCGGAAGAAGTTATTATTCTTCTGTACTTTACAGGAAGTTAGGGTTATGAAAGCGAAAAGGTATTAAGCTGAAGAGCAGTATATATAAGTATATATTCGTGTATATATATATATATATACATATATATCATAGTGAAACACATTCTAGCATGATGTCTTAAACTGCTCCTTGTAGTCTGATCACTGTTTTTGCAATCATATAATAATGTTTACAAAAGGTTTCAAAAGTTGTGGAGAAAAACAGTTGGTCTTTTTCCATCTTGAATGTTCGTAAATATCTCTCGAAACATTTATTGTTTTGTTCATTAACTCTCTTTTGTGCTATTCGTCCAGTGTTTTAAGATTCGAAAGACAGTATTTAGTGCTGGAGCAGACATAGAACATTTGTTGGACTGTTTATGTACTGTTATTGCTTGCGCGTTTTAAGTTGAAAAGAAAGCTTTGATTTTTCAGTGATGTGTCGAAGGCTGTGTTAGAAGTCTTATGGTTTGAGTTAAGACTGTATCTAATCATATCGTTCTATATTTTATACATTATAAATTTTGATCTACATATTGTCACTATAAGGATGTTTCGATGTTTGAGTGAACTTCTTCCAAAGACGTTTTTACTAACAAGCTAACTGTAGAATGTTAAAACTTGGTAGTCAAGAAATAATTAAAGAACATACATTGTTGTAGTTTCAAGATTCACAGTACAATACACCCACAGAAACTCACATAATCTAACATATATATATATAGGCAATGGGTTCGTAGGGGGTATATATGTATATCCGTGTAGATTTCGTTAATGATCGAAATCAGTAGGAGAACCCTTGAGTACCGCGGGGCGTTGAGCAGCTGTATAGCGATAGATCTCAATAGGATAAAATTGAACTGAAGCGAATTTTCATTATAAAACTTTGCATAAAAGTGCAGCGTTTTAAGTTGACACACTTCATAAAGCACATATAAAGGTAGGGAAAAATACAAAGAAACTTTGCTAAACTCAAAAGTACGCCAGAGAGAATAATTTACTAAGATAATAATGAGAACTTAATAGATCTAGGAGATTACATAGAGGGAATAAATCTGTACCATGAAGAATAATTTTGAACCATGTCACCGATAGCCTGCAGCCACTGGATTTCGGAGTTTCGATGCTGTCACCCAAGGAGTCTTCTCCTTCCTATGTGACTCTCACCAACAGCTAGAGACCTCATTGACTGATGCCGTATTTTGATTTGTCCATTCTTCAGCCTTTCCCAAGTCAATACCATGTCAGTTAACATTACTCTACGAAGGAGGCGATAGCTTAGCATGCGTAATGCTTGTCTTAGCTATCTCAGTTGATTAGTTTTCCCTCACTACCTAACATTGTATATAACCTCAATATTCCTCACTATATTATATCGCATAATATGAAAGATACAATGTGGACACCTATTGTCCAAGATGGCCAGTGTCATCATACCCTTTAGTTTCCATGGCCATGTCTTACAGTCATTGATGAAACATCTGTCCTGTGTTCACTGGTTCTTAATGATTCCCTAACTGATGTCCATCGATAATGAAGCTTACAGTAAAATATCTTTATTTATAAGTTCAGTCGACTTGAAAAACACAAAAACGACCTGTAAAGTTAATAAGTTTATTCCACTCAATTTTTACAGTGCATTTAATTTAAACTGTCTGTCACTGTTGGCTAGACTTAAATTATTTCACATATCCATTTCTCATCAACAAATAGGTTAGTAATGCAACTGTGAAAGTTGAATCGAATGAGCGTCAACAGGATGATTGTTCACCATTTTCATATCCTGCCACACCACCTTATATACGCCAAAAAGATGCTGAAAGTGTGAATAATACCTTAACTACAAATGAACAAGAATTATCAACACCATTAAATCACTTTATGCCCAATTGTCAGCCTACCAATGAATTGAAAATATTTGTTAACTTTGTTCAAAGGTTAGTTTTCTCTTCTTGAATACATCTTTTACAAAGTCAGTATATATATTTATATATATTCAGCAACATTTTATCGTAGATATCCATTATTTCTGATTTCATAATCTTGTAACACTTGCAATTATGATCAGTAATAATACGATTATATTATTATTCCCCTACGTTTAAGGGAAACGCTAGGCTTCAACAGCACATCTACATTTTACCCTGTTCCCGGCAGTCCTCTTTATCTGGCTCCTCGGATTGCCCATAAGCCCTCGTCTCCACCTCATACGATCTCCTCCATGTCACCACCATCTCACCCACTCTCAGTTCATCGTCTTCAATTCGAGTTCTACTTGAGGTTCTGGAGCTCGATGTCATTCGACGGTCTTCTTAGCGTGTTTCTCATCCATTTTCATCTGTGTCGGTATATTTTTTGGGTGATAGGTCCTAGGTTGGTTCGTTCCAGGAGATACTTGCTGTTGGATTATCCATGAAACAAGCGGCAACTTGAATTAATTCAATGAAAGCTTGCTATCATCTGTATCAAAGTATGTAGTCACCTTAACATGGTATGAACAATTTAATTTTTTGAATGATCTGTACCTGAATTCTGTAATGATGGTGTTAGTCACAAATAAAACTATTAATTATTATTATTGTTGTTCCCTTTGGTCCCTAGTGGAACATAGGGCTTCAACTACACCTCTCCACTTGCTTCTGTCTTCTGCTGTACTTTTCACCTGCATCCATGTTAGTCCATACTGTTTCAACTCCTCTTCACACGATCTCCTCCATGTCACCCTTGGAAGTCCCACTCGCCGCTTCCCTTTCGGCTTCCACTCGAGCTATGGCCTGACGCGCGATGTCACCCAGTGGCCTCTTCAGCGAGTGTCCAATCCATCTCCACTTTCTCCTGCATATTTGTTGGGCGATTGGTTCTTGTTTTGTTTGTTCTCATAGTTTCTTGTTGGTGATTCTTTCCGGCCATCTGATCTTCAGTATAGAGCGAAGACAGATTTCGCTTAGATTTCTAGCTCGCTAGTTTTCTAGCCGGTCCCAAGCCCGGATAAAGAGGGAGGGTTGGGGCGTGGTGCTAGCAACTCCACCCCTAAAACTTAACCAAATTGCTACAGAAACTTCAACGCACAAATATATTAAAACTATTAAGACATTGGCATTTTATATGTTAGTCCTCTGCAATAAATTCTTTTCAAAGTAAAAGAGATTAGGCATTACAACAAATTCAGAACATTTTTTCATGTGTAAACATATTAATTCTTTCATTTTTTTGGAGTTGTTTTTTAAAGCTGAACTGTGGTGCTCTTTAGCAAGGATTTTTTTTAACAGCCTAATTGTTGATATGCGGTATTGATTGGCTAAGTCAATATGTTTCATCTTTGATCAGCCTTTCTTCATCTTTATCAATCGGTATCAAGTTAGAACAGTCTATTGAATAAATTCTCAAATTGTCTGTACAGTTACAAAACTAACTTATATCATGTGAATGTGCAACTGACGTTTCGGAAATGAAACCTGGCTCTATTCAGCCTTATTTTTTAAGCTGTATATTATAGGATTTTCTTTAAATATCTTTTATTTGAACTAAGATTCTGAGGCGTTATTCTTATGACCTTGTGAGGTCTTCGATTATAGTTAGTAAATAAAACAAGAGGTTAACAAGTAATCTCTGATTCTTAGCTAACTTAGATTTCTGAGTAAGAATATATTGACTCAACGAATTATTATGAAATTCCGCAATTTAAATGAAACTGATCTCAGGTGGTTGAATGTCAGCTATCAAAAATGCATTCATCAATTGATACTTAAAGCAGTTACTATGTAAACAATGCAAACGGAACTTGACCTCCATTTTTTTTCTGTTTTTTAAAATAAAGTTATTACCAGATCCATTGAGAATTAGTCAAATTCATTAAGATAAATCTTCTCAATGATTTTCATACTTACGATTCCATTGATAATTATGAAGAAAGAAAGTTCAGACTGTCATTTACTATACATTATTTCCGTTGAATGAAAGGCCTTCATGTGTACCCTGTTTGATTTTAAAATCGCGCTACCTTAAAATAGGGGACAAATAATGAGAAATGGTATTTGCCAAGTCATGATAAATGTAAGCATAGTTTTAGTGTCAACTGGTGGATGGTGACTATTTGGGACCTGTCATCTGGATATACCTGCATTCCCCAATGAGTGATGATGTCCCCAACGAGGCTCGAACCCAGTGTCAGTAGTTTCAAACGTCAAAGCGTTACTCACTAGACCACTTGGGCCACGAGAGCCAGTCCCAAATAGGACGAAATGAACATCCTGGATTCCACTGCTAGTCACCATCAGCCAATTGACTTCAAGTTACATCACCAGACATTGTCGGAGCACCTGCACAAGGATCCGACATGTCAACCTGAGACCGAGCACTTCGGTTCAATCAATCGACAGGAAAAATCTTAATTGAATTAAATAGTTTTAGCGCTTTGTGAATAGTAAGTGAATCGTAAAGTCATTTTACTAAATGGTTAACTAATTTATCTGAATAATAACAATCTTTACAAAATTCGTTCAATGCATAGAATGGTACATTTTTGTACTGTGTTAAATGTTTGTAAAACTAGACGCGACAAACAAATGAATGATTCGTCTGGTTTAAAATTGTCATTATCATTCAAAACATGATAAATTTTATGTTTTATTGATAAATATTTACAACTTGGCTTAAAATTTATCTGGTGGCTATTCTACTGTCTAAACTAGCCCTCTGTCTGTGTGGAGATTCTGATGTTGTGGAAGTTCAGGTGACATCTGAGATACTATCTTAATAGGAACATGACATTATCGTATCATTAAGCTTAGTAGACACAGTTCAAATGTAACTGATGGGCTCTGACCTGTTGGTTGCACTGCCTAGCAATAGGTGGCGCAGTGGTTAGGACTGTCGCCGACCATGCACATGGTCCGAGGTTCGATCCCCTGCCGACGCACACCCGATATCTATGGTTGGCCTGCAAAATTTGGGCTACCGATATCCATGCTGAAAATTCCATACTTGTACTGAAAATACGGTGTGGCATCAAGCTGTAATCAAAAAGAAAAAAAGAAAAAAAAGGTAATCCGTCATTGTACATCATCTAGTTCTTCAAGGGATAGAGTGAACAGTTAAAAACAAAAGTCTTAATGTAGGTTCTTATGGTGTTTTCTTTCTCATAACAGTCTGCAAGCAGTATCCACAAATCATACCATATTTCTAGATAAATTAATCACCATGTAATATACTGAATATCTTAACTGAAAGTTTTCCTGTTCTTCGAATGGTCGAGTTTTATGTGCTGTGGAACCCGCTTTTTAAAATGACTAATTCGTCATGGCTGATAGTATGAAATGTGGCACAGTGGTTAGGACTCTCGCCGACCATGCACATGGTCCGGGGTTCGATCCCCTGCCGACGCACATCTGATATCTATGGTTGGCCTGCAAAATTTGGGCTACCGATATCCATGCTGAAAATTCCATACTTGTACTGAAAATACGGTGTGGTTTCAAGCTGTAATCAAAATAAAAAATAAATAATTATATATATATATATTCGAAAGTTCTACTTATCAGGTGATTCTCAACAAACCTGTGGCTCTGTTGTACTTCCTGTGCACCGACTACTGTAATCTAAAACAGTATGTGCTATGTAATGCGATGCGTAAACATATTACAACAATAGTAAAAGGATAGAATTGTACAAAAAGAACGTTAGATAGTACTAGTAAGTAGTAATTAAGAGAAAACGCTTATATGTTATGTAACAAACATGTTTGAGTATACAACATGTTTATGTACAGTATTGCAGCTTAGACTGAAACATGGTTATATCAGGTATTATATGATTCTGTCATATCCTTCAGTTTTCATTGTCCATTGATTCAAAGGAATCCAAGGATTTGAACTGTAGTCAAATTAGGGTGAAGCTGTTACTTTCCTCAGAAATTTGGGCTAAAGTTTAGAATTATTATTACTATAACTTTCACTGGGGACGAATCTCAGCTAGACAACCTTTGGAAACTAGGAAGCAATAAGCAGCTGACTCGTCCCTGTTTGAGATTCTTCAACCATGCGTAACCATGATGCCACTAGAACTGGAACCTAGCACCTTCGGGTTACGAAGGAAAACATATTCACCGTACAGCTACTGAACTCTAATGCAGTATCCTAGGAATTCGTGATTCATCTCAACCACCAGCCGAAGTTATTGGTAACTATATGTCCTCATACTGATTGAAACTTCTCATTAGAACTTCAAGAACTTCATCGCAAAGTTGGTTAAGAATCAGAAAAGAATATCTGTTTATGACAAAATCTACCACGAAATTAATCGAACATCATAAATCTAGACATTTGTAAAAATTATATTTGTAAAATCTCAGCGAAATTGAAATGCGTGATTCCAACAATTATTTTGGAACTGTTCGGTCAAATCTTGATCACAGTTCAAATGAGTCATAGATCTAATTTCAGAATACTAATATTATTATTACTATTGCTGTTACTATTTATTTAAACGCAAAATTTCTAATAATAATAATAACAATAATTTACTTTATTCCAAAAACAGTACTTGTGATACAGAGTGGAATTTTCAGCATTAATCACAATATTGCATATAATTTCCTCAAATTATAAATAAAATTATTCACAGCAAATTTTTCTACATTCACAATAGGGTTAATATAAAAAAACATAGTAAAAAATAAAAAAACACGCAGCATATAAAATGGAAATAATAATAATGATAGCAGCTAAGGTAATGATAATAATACAAGTGGAAATTGCCGTGGGCTTGTTTCACACAGTATTGTCGAGGCGGTATGCAGATCCTTGCATGATTAAAAATATTGAATATAATGTTCTCTTTACATGATATGGTGAGGGAAAAAAGAAAGATTACAGTAGTCATAGAGATAAGTTGGTGTTTACAATTATGAAAGTGAAAAACAAAGAATCAACAGGACCAT